CATCAATCAGCGAATCGAGCTAGTGAAAAAAATTTTCATCGACCAGTGCCAAACTCCGCCCTCCGGCAGCATTTAAATCTGGCCCAAAATCGAGGCTTGTACCAATTAACTTATCGTTTTTCATTCGTTCGTATCGTTACAAAAACATGCTGTTATAACGTCAGAGACACGATACAGGGTGGCGACAATAATTCCGCCAACATCTCGAAAATTAAAGCCAGAGCGAACGATAATAAACGCGCAAGAATCACATTGACGACATATTCCAATCAAGATCGTCAAAATCCGCCTTAACAAGCGATTATGACATTTCGTTCCTTATCATCATCGTGACGTCGTCGTTCCAACTATTCTAAGTAAAATTACGAGTACAGTACGTGAAAAAATCGATCGTTCGATACACAACATGGCGCAGCAACAGTGTGTGGAATGACATTCAATATAAATTTACGTACAGTCGAATAGCAGTCGATGTTTTTTCTGTTTCTTTTTTTTTTTTTTTTTTGCGAATGTATAAGCATGGATTATCCTTTCGATCTCTCTTCGAAAGGTTTCTCCCTTTCTCTCGTTCGTCTCGTGGAGATCTTTCTTCCTTTCGAGGAGAACACGTGCGACGCGTTATTGTGCATGCGTTGCGTGTATATATGGCCGGCGCATCGGCCTCAACGAGCAACGCGATGATTCGTTCCTCGAATGATTCCTCGGGGAGGTGGGAAGAAAGAGGGGTTTATTGATTGTCGTATCTAAAATTCTCGGTGTGAAACGTTGAGCGGTGCGTTGAAAAAGTGATGATATCCATCGCCGTACAGCCGTGGCGATTCCATCGAATCGGATGGACGAGCGATTCTCGTTATCTCTTCTTTGCAAGCGGACTGCGAATGTTCGTGCAATTTTATATTTCTCGCGGATGAATTTTGAAAAGAAAAACAATCGTATCCGCTAAATAACTAACTTGTAGCTGAAGTCTTTGGATCTTTGGTGGATCTTTTCACCTTCATAACGTAAATATTAATATTTTTCTTCGGTCTGTGCGATTGTCAATTTTTATCTCTACAATTACAATTGCAGATTACATCAATCCAATTAAAATCACAAATTGCGAATTATCTTTTTCTTTTTTTAAATTACGCGATCGTTAATTTCTACCGATTACATAAATTTCATCAAGAAGAAAAGATTCTTTGGCTATAGAGTTGGTTAAAAAAAAAGAAATAACGCATAAACGTCCGTAGTCCATCTAGCAGGCAGTTTCATCCCGGCGTACAAAAAGAAATTCGATTCGAATACTCGTCCGGTAGATTGTCCGACAGAGTTGATCGTTTAAATCGCGCGAGTCTTCCTTTTTTCTTGTTCTTTTTTCCTCGCGTTGGAAAATTTTTAGTCGGGATCGATCGATAATACTAGCTACTTTTTTTCCCCCTTTTTAAACTTAAACTAGAGACTTCAATTGACACTTCACTCTCGCACGCGCCATCGTTCTCGAAGAAGCGTTACAAAGCAGCGATTATAAAAAAAAAAAAAAACGTAGGGTTTCTCGCTATCAGCCGATATTGTTCGAGCTACACACGAGATTCAACGAGGAAGGAAAAGCGACGGATATCCGAAGCATAGTACAGAATGAAATATCATCGCGGTGTCATTCGTTTGAAATTCACAAAACGAAACGAAAGCACAGGTTTTTCTATTTGCATCGCGCGCCTAGCCACTTTCAGCCTGAGGGTCAATCTTACTGTTAGTCCATTTAGCCCAGACAAAAGGCGATCTCGTCGTAGGAATTCGGCTACTACGATTTCTGCTCCCCCAAGACTCGCGGCTTTCGAGCCTTCCGCCAGAGTTTCACGCGCTCTGAAAGCTGCACGGATCTAGGCCATCCTATTAATATTCGTTAGGATGACGATAGAGAGCGGTGACCGACTTGGTTTCTCGGTTAGCTTGGAAAAGAGCGAGTCTTGAGAGGTCTTTCGAAACATCGCGCCGCGCTTGTGTCCTTCGATCGACAGAGACGAAGTTTAACCCTTTGCGCGGACCATAACGAGCGACCACGAACCGTACGCAACAATTCGTCGATTCCCTTCTCTTCCAAATTTGTCGGTACGATGTCGCTGGATAGAAATGATTAAGAAGTAACGAACTTGTCATCTGTCTCGCCCGGGTTACATTTATATATATATATACATAAAATTGTGAAAACGTTGCAATTTGCAAGAGGTGAACCCTTTCACAGTGTAGATTCCGACAAGCTGCCTAGTAAATTACTGCAAGTTTAATTGTAAAGTATCAACTACTAGTTATCTTAAACACAAGTGCTTCGTTAATTTTTATTCTCTCACTGATATTATTATTATTATTATTATTATTATTTCAATATTAATTAGTAGTATTGCTTTGATTTATCGAGAACGAAGGCAAAGGAAATGTTTCAGGTGTCAACACCCTTTTTTCGTTTTTTTTTTTTTTTTTTTTTTTGCCCCGAAATATTCCAAAATGTGCTACAATTGCAAATATGTATATACAATTTTTTTTAACCTGAATTTTACAACGAACTTTTTCTTCTACTCGACAACAAAAGGAAATCCATCTTTTCATGACGAGTATACTCGATACGAACGCTTAAGGGATTGAAGTGAATTTTTTTCGACGATTCGAGCACAGTGGTTATTTCTCGAAGCGTGGAGGACAATTTCCCGCGAGTGATCGTTGGGTCTTTGTCCGACACGCAGTTCAAAAATCTCGCCGAGCACTTACCGGGAAAAAAAGATCTCTATGCAGGAAGAACTAGTCCAAGGCCAAGTCGAAATTAACATACACGTATCGTGTCATGTATCGGCGTGAGCGAGACTTTCCTTTTTCGAGGAGCGGCAATTAAGTTACAAAATCTCGAATAAGCTCCTCAGATGTCCGTCGTAGATTAGACCGTAGCGAAGAAGAAGAGATGGTAGATTCGAGCCTGTTTTTCTCATAATTCATCCATTGTTTAGCACAGCTATACAGTCGGATACAAGTCCCCCGTGTGCCGCGCGCGTGCTTCTAAAATGACTCACCTATGCTTCGGAGATTGCATAAACGAAAAGCATAGTCGCAGGTGCGTCCTCCGGTGCGTCGCGCCTCGTCGAACAGACGTTTGTTTGTTTGTTTGTTTATTTGTTGTTCGTTGTTCGACGACAGCAAATGATCTGTCACTGATCTGTCGGAATTGTTCGACGAGTGAAATCAAAGTGGCAAAAACTAGATTCTTTTGCAAAGAATGGCGAGAATTTCTGGCCGTTTCCTGAAAATGTAAGAAAACGATCGTTCGTACGATGAATAGACAGAAATGCGCGCGAACACGTCGGGGGAATCCATAATGCATCGAGGAACGGCAATACATAGAACTTGGGAAAGAAAGAAAGTGACTTTCAGATTTGAGAAGAGAAACTGCTTTTTGAACGCGGCTCAACGCGTGGCAAATGTAACCGTAGCCTCGCCGGTACGATCCGCAAATAGACTTCCAAGAAGTTCGATCGCCAAACGAAAAACGCGAAATCCCGCGATCTCTTCGGAAGCGTCGATTGGTCTGGCAGTTTTCTCTCTCTCGAAAAGTGTCTGCGACCCACGCGGGCGCGCAGAGGACCTATTAACACGTCGATCGTCGCGTCACTCGGTATCTGGGTGACAGTCAAGTTTCCATTGGCCGATGATCCTATTTTTAAATCGTAGTGCAAGAAATAAAAATTCAGTAGAAAAGTGATTTTTTTAGTAGTAAATCATTTTTCAATTAGGCACATTGTTTATATAAAAGTACATAAATAAAAATTTAACATAAAAATACATAAATAAAAATTTAATATAAAAATACATGAATAAAAATTTAATATAAAAATACATGAATAAAAATTATATATAAAAATACATGAATAAAAATTATATATAAAAATACGTAAATAAAAATTATATATAAAAATACAGAAATAAAAATTTAGTAGGAACGTGAGTTTTTGGTAAATCATTTTTTAATTAAGCACATTGTTTATATAAACGTAATATACATAATATTGTAATAGTTATTTGATATATTGAAGAAACATTATGGGATTGTTTTTAAATGAAGCAAATTAAACTCGGTATCAATTAACGTTATGACAATAATATAGCGAATTTTTGAATTATTTTGAAGTAATTGTAATCACATTATTCACATAAAAATATATAACAGTTATTTGTGATATATTGAAGAAACATTATAGGATTTAAGGGATTTATCTTGTTGCAAATTTCCAGTCTACACTTGAGGGATGTAAAAAGCGTGTAAGATCTTCTGAATTTGACAAGCTAACACCGAAGCATGTACATGTCCTAACAATTTAAAGAAAAGAATAAAAAAACAAGAGAATACCTGAGGATTCGTGGCCCCGCAAAAAAATCTACTCGATGGCGATCAACGGTGTTGAACGTTGCCAAGGTCAAGATCCACTTTCTTCTTCTCCGCACCGGAGGAGCCGGAGGTCATCCTCCTTTCTCCGGTTTCCGGTACCGAGAGAAAGGACCCTCGGTCCCCCTTTTTGAACGCGCGCGAAAAAAAAAAAAGGAAAGAAAAAATAAAAAGAAAAAAAGAAGAAACATCGCTGACACATCGACTCTAAATATGGTTGGACTCGGTCGTTTGTCACGGCCCCACCACTCGCCCGAAGCCTGTCCTACGCGTACTATTCTGATTTGCCAGATCCTACGATCCGATCGGTGCCTGTTCCGCCAGTCGACCGAACGTGCCCGTGCCAAGAAAAACTCCGTTCGTCGAGATTTTCGGTTCACCTCGGCGCGTCTGTTAATCTTCAAAGTTCTGCGCCGGACGCCCGGAAGTTTTAAACCTTGGCCTCTCTTACTCTCCGAACAGATAATATCCGTTTCGTATTAGGTTACGCTTGGTAGTCAAGTTTGTAAAATCGGCGAATGATAATTTTATTATCGAAACGGTGTTGCAAATAGTGTTTGAAGAAAGGAACACAAGGCTGAGACGATAGAATTCGAGGGAGAAACAATTTCGTGAGAAAAAAAGAGAGAGGGTCAGCCTGACTTTCGTGTCGAAAAAAAGGACACGCTCGCGTGCTCGAAGAACTCGAGGCAATTGGCGGAGGATTCGGGGAATCGAATTGACGGAACTTTGGAATCCGTCGTTGGGAACAAGTTTGAAAAAAGCGCGCTGTGACGGACTCTCGAGGGGGAGAGTCGGTCCAATGACCTTGGCAAGAATAACCCACAAGGCCGGACATCAGCCCGCGAGGAAGCATGGTGACGCGTGGCTCTGTTTACGTTGCGGTTCTCTTTATCTTGCCTTTGATCCTTCGGCTCTTTGGGAACCTCAGAAGAAGCAAGATCCTCGCCGACGTCCGGAAAGCTGCCAGGTAATCAGCTTTCCCTTTTCGGGGCCGCTGTCATTGTCCAATACACGAGGGATGATGACGCGGCCAAAGAATGTTTCCGTAATAACAGTTCCGTGTATCGATCCAACACGTGCGCCTCAGTAGCAACGAACGTGCTGTATGTAACGTATGTTGTTCAACTTGAGCAACTTTGATTGACTCGCTGTGACTGTTTCAATAATTCTTCGTCTCTGACTTTGTTGGACCGTGGATATTTAAAAAGATGACATTACTCCAATCATGAGCGATTTTTGTAGGCCCACGCTTGACATGTGTTTTCGTGAAAACAACGGGGTTTCCATAGAGTTGATGGAAAGCAGTCGCATAGTGGCATAGATTGCAACGTGCACTGTTAACACGTCGTACATGGAATCATTTGGAATTTTCATTGTAAAACGAGGAATTTTTTAAAAATTTGTTATAAAGTTGTGTATTGACATTTTGATGATGTGTATAACGCGTTCATCCTGTCGTAACAAGTACACGACCATCTGTTAACACCGATTAACCTTACCACGCGCGTCGAGAATTTTTTGCAATATTTCCTCGTATAAAGTATATTTCAGTACAATTCAGGCATAAATTCATTGCTTCTCAGTAATTTCTATCCAGTGACGAGTTCCATCATACCGACGAGCTCAAAAAAAAAAAGCGACGAATTGTCGTACACGGTTTGGTCACTCGTTATGGTCCGCAATCAGTTGCCATGTGGTGAAATTCGATAAGAAGACACTGTAAAATTTGTTATCAAAATAACGTTAAAATAAACATTATTCACTAGTATTTAGTATTATCGCATTATATAATAAATTCTTATTATTTATTATTATATAGCATACATAAACGATAATTATAAATAATATAATTATTATATTAATTATATTAAAAATATTTGGAACAAAGTGTTTTATTTTAAATTAACTACGACATTGTCAAAAAATTGTTTGTTGCAATGCCTTAAAATTTGTTGATTCATTGCTTTGTTCTGCAACGCATCTGAAACACTGGACACTTTCCTTGACAATTATAATTTTCGCACTATTATAAAAATTGTAAGACACACTTCAGAAGCAAAACTATTGATCGTAAACGAAAAGTAAAAATTGGCGCGAAACATGTTGTTGATTGAGCGCCAAATTTTTTACAAAACGAATCTCTTTCTTTCAGAGTGTTCTTATGAAACACACTGTATATACGTATATCTGCGGCGTGACAGCGGTCGACGGCGTTCAGGAAACTGCGTAAATAGCCGATTATAGGAAGCTCGCGTGAAACAACCATAACTGCGCCGTAGTAACGACTGCTAACGCTTCTAAATAAGAAATTTCAAGCGGCACACGTGCTTCACCGCTGCTCCGCAGCATTTATTATTTTTATTCCTCAGCCGCACGTCTCTGCGTGGCGATGAACGAGATTCGTGCGCTGCTACGATACTTCTTTGTCCCTTCATCCGCAGACCCGTTTCATGCTGCTTTCTCTTTCCTCTGCTGGTGTGTCCTGGCTGACTGGCAGCTGGCCAACGAACAATTCGCCCAGAAAGATACCTACGCGCGCGCGTGTGTAGCAAGACGTTCTTCTCGACCTCGTTCGTACGCTGTTTCAATGAGTTTTGAGACGAGAGAGAGAAAGAGAGAGAGAGAGAGAGAGATATGATCGCATCGCAATGAAATTGCAAGCGCGTGAACGTTTGAATAATTCTTCAATTCTAAAAACAACGGATTCGCTGGCGACAGAAGAGATTGTCCGACACAAGAGATTCAACTCTAAAGAATAAATTTGGGACATGTCGGTTAAAAATTGTTTTTATTCAGGTGTCAGACGACTCGAAGAAATTACGCGCGATCAGGATAAACGCTGCCGGCCAATCCAATGAAACACTCTCGCTTGTCCGCGATAGAAAATAGCTGCAATCCGATTGACCGTCTAACGGTCTGCTCGCTATCGACGAAACAATTCTTTCACGTTTCGGTGAAACGTTCTTTCGCTTCTGAAACCTGCTTTCACCTGTTTCCACGTCGTAACTAACAACATAATATCGGTTATAATCAATACTTGCGATAAACAGAGAGATCAGAGAGCGCTGCGCCCTTCAGGACAATTCCTCCAGGGAAAGAAAAAGAGATAGAGAAACAATTTTAATTGGCTGTCGTGAAGACATTCAACTAAGACTTTTCTCAATTATTTTGTTTCTTTTTTTTTCTACGAAGATTAAATTAGTCAACAAAATCCATTTTGCCCGCTCATTACGTGATCTATAGTGTAGCCTTTATTTTGTCATAATTTTCTTTGCGTTCAAATCAATGATCTTGATCAATCGAAGCCACATGAACTAAAGAAACAATTTCATATTCCAGAGATTAAAAATACTTGTTGCACTTGTAATGTAGGAGTAGTTATAATAGTATAGTTATAGTAGTAGTATAGATATAGCATAGATATAGTAGTAGTAGTATAGATAGATAAACTAAACAAACTAAGATATATCTGAACAGGTAAAAAAAAATCATTTGATCCTATTTTTTTAATCTTTTATTCGTAAATTAATAATTAATAACTAACCAGCACGTCAACAAGTCGGTGAATTTGTGAATTATTGGCACGCGTACAAAGATTCTCTTCACCACTCGTGTAAAAGATCAAGCGCATCGAAGCTGCTGTTGAGACCAAATTGCTATTATCTACGTTCGAGTGTAAAAGATATTACTTTTTTTTCTGTTTCTTTTTAAAGGACCGATCACCGGTGGGAATAGTAGTATAACAAAGTATCGGTAGATTTAGTGTTAAACATCTTCGACTCCTCGTCGGCTCTCCATTCAGTCAATAGTATAATGAACGCGCGGACGTCGAATTGTTGGACTCTTTGTAGTCGAGCGACAATCGAATCGTCATTGCTTGCTTCATCGGCCGTTCCATTTAGGATCACCCGATGACGCGACACATTATAATTACGATGGTACGCCTCGAGCCTCAGTCTCTACCGTGCTGTTGTCCCCGCTCGTTGTGCAACACCGACGGAACATCGACTTGCGATTAATTAATCGTCGTGGCGTGCTTTTTCCCTGGGCGTTTGCCCGAACACACGTGACAAAACACGAACAACGCGTGAAACATTTGGTTCGATCGTACAACGTTTGAACGATCCACGGAAAATGTGGGAAATTCGATGACATCTCGAGGATTCTTAATCGCGCTGTCGGCGAACGTACGTGTGTTTTGTCATACGTCGTACAGCTTAGGTCACTGTAGCTCTGAGCTTAAATTGCAGAATCGTGAATTTGCAACAGGAGATATCTCCCTAATATTTATTGCAGCGGTGCAAATCACCTTCATTTCGTCCTTTTCTGCGTGCGTAAGCGTACAGACGAAACGTGCGGTTTTGAGTTTCTGCGCAGAAGAGAAAGATTCCGTTTTGTTCGGAAGCTGCAATTGGCATCCGACTGAACCAGACTATCGACAGAATCGGTGCCGGTTAAACACGCGAACGCTGCCGTTACGTAAAATGTTTAATTATAAATACGCGCTTGGTGTCCTCGTCGTTGACGATGGTTGTCAGTTACGCAAAGCGTATAACCATCCAGAGGCTTGTTCTCGATCGGCACGGCGCGGGGAACGTGCTTGACGTTCCGATCGAGATGGACCCTTTGGCTCGCGGTTTGCCGCGTGAAAAAGCCAGGAAACTTTATCTGATCACCGTGGAGGAAGTGGAAGGGAAAGGACTACTCGATCGGCCAAAGAACGTCGTTGCGTTATCTCGAAATACCGATAAAAATAAAACTGGCTCTTAAGCCAGTACCTCGTGTCGGTTAAACTTGATCTCGCGTACGAGTCGCGCGACTCACGTTTTTCATTTTCTTTTTGGACGATATCCCAATTTCCCTAAACATTTGAAATTTCGAAACAATCTCGAGCACGGCGAAAATAATTTGGAGCGCCGTATTTTCGGTTGTTCGCGTAGTAAAACAAAGATTGAAGGGACTCACTTTTTTTTTTTGATGATATCTTGTGATATTTCTCTAAACATTCAAACACTCGTGTCTTGAGAGCCACGAGAATAATTTAGAGCGTCAGATTTTCGATAGTTTACGAGCAAGCAAAAGGAAGATCAAAGCAACTCACGTTTTTTTTTCCTTTTCTTTTTGACGATATCTTGTAATATTTCTCTAAACATTCGAACACTAGTGTCTCGAGAGCCGCGAGAATAATTTAGAGCGTCAGATTTTCGATAGTTTACGAGCAAGTAAAAGGGAAGATCAAAGCAACTCACGTTTTTTTTTCTTTCTTTTTTGGACGATATCCCAATTTCCATAAACATTTGAAATTTCGAAACAATCTCGAGGACGGCAAAAATAATTTGGAGCGCCGTATTTTCGATTGTTCGCGTAGTAAAACAAAGATTGAAGGGACTCACTTTTTCTTTTATGATATCTTGTAATATTTCTCTAGACATTCGAACACTCGTGTCTTGAGAGCCACGAGAATAATTTAGAGCGTTAGATTTTCGATAGTTTACGAGCAAGTAAAAGGAAGATCAAAGCAACTCACGTTTTTTTTCTTTCTTTTTTGGACGATATCCCAATTTCCTTAAACATTTGAAATTTCGAAGCAATCTCGAGAGCGACGAAAATAATTTGGAGCGCCAAATTTTCGATTGAAGAGACTCACTTTTTTTTATGATATCTTGTAATATTTCTCTAAACATTCGTGTCTCAAGAGCTACGAGAATAATTTAGAGCGTCAAATTTTCGATAGTTTACGAGCAGGTAAAAGGAAGATTAAAGCAACTCACGTTTTTTTTCTTTCCTTTTTTTTTTAAAAGATATTTCCCTAAACATTCGAAATTTCGAAACAATCTCGAGGGCAGCGAAAATAATTTGGAGCGCCAGATTTTCGATTGTTCACGTAGTAAAACGAAGATTGAAAGGACTCACGCTCTTTTTTTTCTGACGACATCCTATAATATTTCTCTAAACATTCGAACTCTCGTATCTCGAGAGCCACGAGAATAATTTAGAGCGCCAGATTTTCGATAGTTTTACGAGCTTTCAAGTAATAAAAGGACCTGACAGCTGGAAGATCGAAGCGAGTCGCGACGAATTTCTGCCGATCAAGCAGAAATCGCGCTCGAGGCGGCTCGAGACCAGCCGAAAAAAATCTGCTGATTGTTCGGCGAGGTTACTTCACCGTTCCCTGAGAAATTACTTCGCGCCGAATAACAGATCGCCGAGTTACGTCACGCATCTGAAATTTCTAGTAACATCCTTTCTCCTAATTACTTCTCTAAGACTCGAAAAATCGGCGCATAAAAGAGAAAGTGTACTGAGAGTTATTGGTAAATAACGAACAAACGATTACGTTTGCCGTAAAAGCAACAACGAATTACTGTGGCTCGAAATAAATTAGGTAGATTTATTCATTTGTTATTTATTAATAAATAAATAAATAAAATCCTCTCGCAAATTGTCGAAATGCTGAAATACCAAAAAAAAAAAAAGATCTTGATGAAAATTTGCTTTCGCAGATAAATGAAAATTTACAATTCTAATCGCAGTTGAATCGTGTTGCATTCTCAAGCTACGCGAATCGTCGATGAAAAATAAACAGTTACGGCTCGCGACACGATGCAATTCAATTATTTGCGTAATAGGTGCACTGTCGTCGTGCCATTTGTGTTACGCAGACAGTGGCTCAGCTTCGTCTGTTCGTTTCCTGACGGTTAAAAGTTTTGCAAGTTCGAAGTTTCAGCGACGCGAAAATTGAACGATCAACCGGAAACTTCTCTCTTCGCGCGATGCTTTTTTTTTCTATCTTCACGGATTTGTCTACGGTCGGACGATCACGATGACTGACTGCAAAAGTTTTTTTTCCCCCATTTATCAAGGTTGCTAAACGTTTGTCAGTGCGTTGTTATATTTCCAAAGCAAAAAGCAGATTTCACTTTCGATAGCTTCGTACACCGTCAATTTTGTTAGATCAGAGGCTACGAAACGCAAAAAAATGAGCTTTTTCAATATTTCCAGATGAATTTTTCCCAGCTGGAAGGAGAAAAGAAAATTGTATTAAATAATGTTCTTTTCTTCTTTTTTTTTTTACCTATAATTCAAAACTTTTACCATTTTCAGTACCTCTGTATTGATGATTTGGCACAACAGTGTTGTAATTTCATCCATCGGTGTCTTAACCGCGAAACGATTACGTTTAGAGCTTCGGTATTTCCCCACTGGCGTTCGTGAAACGGAAATGCTACTTCCAATGCGTACTTCTAGTCGTTTCGATAACATTATTCAAACCTCGAGGTCATTTAAAAATTTAAAGTGTCGCAGTTGGAGATTTAATGTGCAGGAAGTGTAAAATTTTATGAGATTTTTTTTTTGGTACACACGTTAGTTTAACCTTTTAGTAGACGGATTTAAATCCGCCAGGCGAAGTTTAATTTTACATGCTTTCACATAAATTATTGTAGCTTCTATATTTTCAAAGTTAATCAAATCAAATAAGGACTACGTTATTTTGCAATAATTTATTATAATTTATTTGCAATAATAACTTTCTCAAATATTATACAGGGTGTTTCGTAACTTATGGGAGCTGATTGTACGCCTAAAAGTAATGAAAAAAAGTCATATAAATATATGTCCTATCCGTCTTCGTTTATGAGATATAATGAATTTTCTGTTTTAATTGCTTTTACAAAAGACGCTCGAAATGACCACCTTGCATTTGAAGACGAGCCTGCACGCGTCTTGTCATTCATCTGGTTACTCTCTCTATCATTCCTGGTGTTTCTCGAATTTNCTAGCCACTCGGCTAAAACGCGGCGGAGCTCCATCATGCATAAACCGCATACGAAGTCTAATATCGACTGGAACTTCCTCTGATATTTCGTGTAAAACGCGTGCTGAAAAAATCAACGTACTTTGTGCCTGTTAGTTTCCTATGAAGAAGGTCCAATTAAAAATTTATCAATTATTCCTGCCCATACGTTTAAACTAAACTGGTGTTGATGTCTTGAATGCACAATAACATGTGGGTAATTTTCTTCGTCCCAATTGTGATTATTATGAAAATTGAATGTACCATCTCTGGTAAAACTAGCTTACTAGAATCTGTTTATAAAATTCATTATATCTCATAAACGAAGACAGATAGGACATATCTGTTTATATGACTTTTTTCCATTATTTTTAGGCGTACAATCAGCTCCCACAAGTTACGAAACACCGTGTATAAATGTCGATATATCAGATGTTAGTACTTAGAATGTTGAATCTTTCGCAAACGCACAAACACGATGGTCCAGTGATAAATCCGTAGGGATAAATCGCGTGGAATTTCTCGCGAAATTGAAATGAAATTACACGATACAGAGGCATTCGTTCGTTGTATCTCGGTAACGATCCAGAACCACCGAGAAGGGAAACACGACTCTAAGCGTTTCCTCTCTCCTGCCGTAGAAACGGAAGTGGTTTAAGTTCGAGATAAGTAATTCCCTTTGACCACCCTCGTAGATCTTGTTTGCTCGCCAGTCTAGGATCTGCTTCGTCACACAACTTCATTTCAGTTTATCTCCTTGAGCAATGAATGTACAATACCACCAGGAATATTATATTCGACCAAGAGATTCGTTCAGATCCCGCAAAGTTGCTGCGTGAAATGTAATAAAATCTCCGAGGTCCCTTCCTGCGAAATTTATTTATTTATTTATTTATTTATTTTTTTTTTTCATTTTTATTTCAGAGACGCGACAATCGTCGAACTGTTCTGAAACTTTGTGGTGGAATTCACTGTGTTGCAGGTCGGCCTTGCAGACGCTGCACAAGGTGTCGAGTAAGGCGCGCGAGCAGAATTACTTCCTGGGTGGGCTGTCGCACGACTGGGTCAGTTACTATGAGCAACGAATCGAGAGCGATCGCTCGTGTCTCAACGAGTGGCATGCCATGGACAATCTGGAATCTCGAAGACCACCGTCGCCGGACAGCGTGCGCACCAAGTAAGTTCGTTAATTAACTTTCTCCGGGTCATTTTGTACTTGCACGGTTGGTTTGTACTAGCGTGTTCTTCGATCACGAACGAGCATGTGTTCACGCGCGCGTTTTAGACTGGAATTTGTCCTGAGCCGAATTGCGAGGGTGAAATATTGCGCAACGTGCAGAGGAAAGTCGAGTAAAACCGGGTAAACGTATTTAGCTTCGCAATAAAAAAGTCGAATTCGTGAAATGAAAATACGCACAAGGCTGAATGCCTCAATTGGACCTTATGTGATAAGAAAATGACCAAACAAATTTTGGAAAGAATTGTTTGACTCGCGAGAGAATAAAATCTGTTTACAAATACAAATCAGTTTTTAGGAGCGGAACTATTAGCAAACTACTATTAAAAAATTATTAAAAAACATATAAAATGCAATATAGTTTATAAAATCTTTATTTTTATTAGTTAAGAGGTAGTACAGACAATTATTTTTAACAATTTTAACTAGTGTAAAGTTACTCTATTTGGTTTGTCTTGTAAAAAATTATGTTAATTACTAGTTTAGGAATTTTTACCGTATTTATGAAAAGTTTGAATTATTTTAACATATAAATATACAAGTGTTGAATATTTTATTTGCAATTAAAATATTATATAACTAAAATATTAATATATTATATAATATTGTTATATTATTATATAATTAAAATATTATTTATATTAATATTAATTAATTATATATAATATAATTATTATATATTATATAATTAAAATATTATATATAATATTTTAATTGCAAATAAAATATTTGCAATTAATATTTAAATTTAATTTAATTTAAATTTTAGTTTAATATTTGTTAATTATATATATATATATATATATATATATATATATATATATATATATATATAAAACAAAAATTGTAAATAAAATAATTTTCTTATATATATATATATATCTCGGAGCTCTTATTTTAGAAAAATAATGGTACTCGTTTTTCCTCTACTTTATTTCAGACATTTTGTACACTATTACACAGTAAACACGTAACACATGCGAGAACGCTTCTAATTCATAAACTAGGCCGATTCATTCCCGTTTCGTCTCCTAAATGTACAATTTTTGACGACAGACCCAGAGAAAGGGACGAGACTGAGCGCGTGATCCGATCGACGTTGAAGGAGATCATGATGTCCGTGGACCTCGACGAGGTAACCTCGAAGTACATTCGAGGCCGTCTCGAGGAAGACCTCGACATGGATCTCGGGGAGTTTAAGCCATTCATCGATCAGGAGATGCTCACCATTCTCGGTCAGATGGACGCGCCGACTGAAATATTTGATCACGTTTACCTAGGAAGCGAGTGGAACGCGAGTAACTTGGAGGAGCTCCAGAAGAACGGGTGAGTACCTTTCTTTCCTTTACTCGAAGTTCTTCGATCCTTTTTGGCCCTTCACGTCGCCAAGGCCAAAATTTGATCGGTCACTTTTTTTTTGTTCGTTCTGAATCTGACGATCGACGATTAAAAATCCTTCTCGTTGCACAGTGTCAGACATATTCTGAACGTAACTCGGGAGATTGACAACTTCTTCCCGGGGATGTTCACGTATTTGAACGTTCGCGTGTACGACGACGAGAAGACCGACCTGCTGAAGCACTGGGACGACACGTTCAAGTACATCACGAAGGCAAAGAAAGAGGGTTCGAAGGTGCTGGTGCATTGTAAGATGGGGGTGTCCAGGTCAGCCTCGGTGGTGATCGCGTACGCGATGAAAGCCTACAACTGGGACTTCTCTCAGGCGTGGAAGCACGTGAAGGAGAAACGGACCTGCATCAAGCCTAACAACAGCTTCCTGCTACAACTGGAGACCTATCAGGGCATACTGGACGCGATGAAGAACAAAGAGAAGCTTCAGAGGTCCAAGTCGGACACGAACTTGAAGTCCCCAACGTCGACGAAGGATCAGTCGAAGAAGGAAGAGAAGTCTGACAACGTGGACAACGACCTGCAGACTGTTTCCGGCTCTGAATTGAAGAAGACCAGTCAAAGGCCGAAAAGTTGGTCGCCGAACGTGAAGATCAGCGAAATCATGTTGCCTTCTGGTACGTTGTTACTCTAGCTTAAACACTGGGTCAAGGTGTAAAGTTTTTAACAGAGGAATTAAAGTGCAAGGGAAAATGTATGATACAGAGTAAAAAGTGAAATTTTGTTGAAGATCATTTCTGAAAACACGCTGTTCTAAGTGTATAAAATTTCAATGGAAAAGTCTAAAATTATTAACAGAGAAATTAAAGTGCACAGGGAACAAGAAAAAAATTATAATATATTTTGCTATTAATAATAATATTTTACTATTTATAATAGTAAAAAGTACAAGTTTCTTTTTATATATTTTGTTACAAGTTTCTTTTTATATATTTTGTTAAAGATCATTGAAAACACGCTGTTCTAAGTGTATAAAATTTCAATGGAAGAGTGTAAAATTATTAACAGAGAAATTAAAGTGCACAGGGAACAAGAAAAAAATTACAATATAGTAAAAAGTACAAGCTTCTATTTATACATTTTGCTAAAGATCATTCAACTCTCTGAAAATATACTGTTCTAAATGTATAAATTTCAATGGAAAAGTAAAATCATTAACAGAGAAATTAAAGTGCACAGGGAACAAGAAAAAAATTACAATATAGTAAAAAGTACAAGCTTCTATTTATACATTTTGCTAAAGATCATTCAACTCTCTGAAAATATACTGTTCTAAATGTATAAATTTCAATGGAAAAGTAAAATCATTAACAGAGAAATTAAAGTGCACAGGGAACAAGAAAAAAATTACAATATAGTAAAAAGTACAAGCTTCTATTTATACATTTTGCTAAAGATCATTGCACTCTCTGAAAATACACTGTTCTAAATATATAAAATTTCAATGGAAAATTATGAATTCGCCACTTTGACTAGTTTGGTAGTTCCAGTGTTAATTCTGTTTCATTAAGTTTCTGTGTATGGTAATCTCGAACCTGATCCGTTCCCCCTTCCATTTCAGTTCCTCTTTCCCAATCGCTGGAGAGCATCGACAAGGCAGGGAACACGGAAGTGACGAGGGAAGATCTGCTACGTTCCAGCAGCCAGAAAACGAGCATGCCGCAGGAAGCTCGGAACGTTTTGATGCCGTGCGGCAACGGACAGTCGTACAGCGTGTCGCAGAACAAGATCGTCCATCTGCCAGGTCCCTCGCTGGACACGCCGAGCGTGAAGAACCGAGTCAGCAAGTTGGAAACGCAACAGGGTCAAAGAAGAAAGGGCCTGGTGCTGAACCTGACGAATCAATTCGAAGCAGTCAGCAGCAAGCCGTCTTCACCGAGCTCTGACTCGGACGGGAAACCGTTGTCGCAGAGCCCGGTTTCTGGCTCTGTGAACGAGAACGGTGTGCTCGGCGTGCAGCAGCAGCAGCCATCGTCGGAAGGTTCATTGTCCACGGTGGCAGTGAAGCAAAACGTGTGGGACCCCGGCGAGAAGCAAGAAAAAAAGACGGAGATCGATAGTAATAGTGAATGTCTAGTCTGGACTACTGCATCATCGTCCGATGCAACAAGTACCGATTCGTGTAGTAACGCTAAGACTAACGGAGAAGTGAACGCGGAGAGTGAGTGTGTCGCGGCGAGAACGACGATAGTGTATCCCAGCACGTTGCCGCGAAAGAGCAAGAAAGACGGGGATCCGTTTAGCACGCACGTCGACCGAGTGTTCGACCGCGAGGAGAGGCAAGGCGAGCCGGTGACGAGGGACTCCCCGAGTCGGCAGAGCTCCTGGAGCAGTTACGACAGTGCCGTGGTCCTCGACAACAATTCGGTGCACAGTTCCTGGACCACGTTACCGTCGAGAAACAGTTCCTGGGGCTCGTACGACATGCGGCCGTCGGATTTGCTCGGCTCCAGCGGCCTCTTCCCTTACGACAAAGAGGAGATACCCTGGCATCCGGGTACCGTGAAACGTACCAAGCAGAAGCTCGAAGAGAACACCAGCTCAGGGACCGTGAAACGCGTGTGCACGCAAAATTCCGACACGGATGAGAAAGACAGATTGCCCGTCGAGGAAGAATCGTACAACCCAGTGCTTCTCCACCATACCGCGTCCCCAACGCCGCGACGGAGGGACTCTTCGCCTAGCCAAGAACACAATTTAAAGGTAGATTGCCCCGCTAGAAACTCCCCGAGTCCCGTCAGGGGGATCGACATCTCGCCAGCGTCGATTCGCCAAGTTGGAAGACTGTCGACGAGCGCGCCAGCGCCGTCTTCTCTCTCCTCCGACACGGATCTTCCCTCGTCGTTGAGGCCCTGTAGGTCAGAGAGCGAGACGTCCAGCCCGTGCGTCGTGAACACCACGCAGTGCCCCTCGGTGAAACACCACAAGATGGTTCTCGAGAATCTGAGCAACAAATCTATATTCAGCAAACGTTGTCTGTCGGTTGACGACTCGCCAGACGCCGAATGTCCACGAAGTACCTCTGGCATCGTGAAGAATCTCAAGAAGGAGTTCGAGGCGAAGTCGACGAAGCCGGAGAGGAGTCCGGAGAACAGTTTCGAGAACGACTCGCCGATCACCGCCGCTCGGCCGAAAAGGGACGTGAAGATCAGAAGTTTGCCATCGTCGCCGGTGATCCCTCACAACGAGTCCAAGATTCACGCCTCGTCCGAGATCAAGGAGAAGGAGAAGTCGTGCGTCGACTCGGTCGCGTCCACGCAAGACAACCTGGAGGACAGATCGGTGAGAGTTCTGGTCGGCAAGTACGAGGTGAAACCCGAGTCGAGAAAGTCCACGGAGATCCAGCTACGCGTGCACAAAGATAAGGATTGGGAGTCGATGGACTCGCAGCACAGCAACAAGTCGAAAATCGGTTTAGAGTACAGCAGAAGGTCTGCGCCGATCATGATCAACAATCACTCGTCCCCTCCTTTGTTCAATGAAGCGCCGGAAGCACCTGGCAGGCCACCAGTCCCATCGGCTGGAGTTGTGGCAGCTAGCAAAAAGCAACAACAGCACGGCAGGACGCATCCTCTTGCCAGGCTGCAGGTCAGGCCTAGGCACAGCAGTCCGGTTTACAACACCATGTAAGACTATCAAAAAAANGGGAAACGTTCACAAAGCGTTCGATTGTTTTATTTTTTTTTTTTTTTTTCTCCTCCCATCGAGTCGAATCTGTGCGCTCGTACCTGAATGGACGGGTATGTTGCGTGGTCGTGGCCACGAATATTGTGTGAAACTGTGTGATCTCTATTTGATGCCAACGAGTCGAGGATCGTTCCTCTTCGAGCTCGACCACTAAATCGACGGGGACATGATTTTTGTATATTGATTCGTTTCCCACCATCTCTTCGATGTATGTATTATTTTAATCACTGCGAGAACTTGTCCTGTATCATGCTGTACGGCGATAAGGCAGAGCACCCGTATTTTTTCGATGCTTCCTCAAACGAACAGGATGCGTACAAGCTTCTCGTGTCTACATACCTACGTACCACTACGTGGCAATGCAAGTCCGTTTGCGATGCTTTTGTGTTCGTTAGCTTTAGTTGATCATCTCGAGAGAAATTTACGCTGTTTGTATATTATTTAATTCCTTGTACGAGCGAGTATTAATTATTTGCGATATCGAAAAGAGCAGCCCGAACAATCGTTTCTGTGAAATTAATCGCGTGTTGCCCGAATTCTTTTTCGAAGTTTTCTTTTTTTTTTTCTTCCTTTGCGATGGAAATCGATGTCGATCGTATTTATCACCGCCGTCTTTATTTAAACGTTACGTTAGGTATTCGTCCAAGCAAAATGTCTTCGCGTGAAATATTTAACAAGCGGTTGATAAATATACGTATACATAGTTGATAAGCCAAGTAAGGATAAAAAAACAAAAAAAGAAAAGAAAGCAAAAAAAAAAAAAAAAATAAATAAAATAAAATAAGAAAGAAACGACGAGTTTCTCAACGTCGATATAAATCTCGAGAGATATCGAAAAGATACAAGTGCCTTGTCCTACCGTCAACGATTGTATACATATATATATATATACATATATAAATATTCGTACTAAGGCACGTTCAAGATCCTTCACAATTTTTATGTTCCTTCTTCGTCAGACGTGTCTTTGGCCTGCTCTTAACAATTAGTTCAATTACTTTTTAAGCTGGAAATGCAACAATTCTAGGAAACACGCGGAAAAGAAAAAAAAGGGGGAAAGAAAAAAAGAAAGAATACTGTTATTCCTACGACGTGTCGTCACCTAATAGACCTAATTATGGGCTTGGAATCAAACGTGATGTGTTTGTGTATGCGGAGGTGTCGCGCAGAAGTTGGAGCCAGCGTGTTCTTGAACCGTGACACGAGAGAGATAGCGATTGGCTCCGGTCAGGCTGTGAACGAAAGGTCCGGGGCCTCGCGCGTTATTGTAACTAAAAAGATATTGCGCTCTGGCTCCTTCTTCTGCTGTTTACGTTGCGTGATCGCCGAGGCGTATGCAAGATAGAGATTCTATATAAAAGAGAACACACTTCGAAACGACGACGTGTAATGTTAAGCTGTATTATTTAGTATTTTAGAGCGAACAATGTGATTAGGATGGTGCACAGTATGCGAGGAGAGACGAAAATAGCAAGGAAAAAAGTAACCCTCTCTATTTCCCTCTTATAGAGGAGCTGCCTCGAATCGTTCGAACGAGATTCGATCGGCTCTATCTTTTTTTCTTTTTTTTTTTCTTTTTTTTTTTTTTCTTCCGTTCGATCAATCGTTATCGATTCTTTTACTCTCTTTTATACTCACCTGTCAGTTTGTACATGCTGTGTGAAGCATCGTCGCGCGATTCCAATTTTTTTTTCTTTTTGTTTTTTCTTTTTTTTTCTTGTATATTTCATCTTTTTGTTTCTCGACTTACTCGTCCCATCTTCTTCTATTTGCTTCATTCTTTCTCCGTTTGTTCTTGATTTATNTCTCTCTCTCTCTCTCTCTCTCTCTCTCTCTCTCTCTCTCTCTCTCTCTCTCTCTCTCTCTCTCTCTCTCTCTCTCTTTTACCTGTCTGTAACGATAATCGTTTATCGAAGGATTTTACCGTAATTACAACTTGAGAAAGTACAATAAGAAACACGGCTCGATATCAGCGTTCGTCGTTCTTAGACATATCATCGGACCGTTCGTTCTTGTTTGCATTCGCAAAGCCATGTCGACCAATTTTATACTACTATCCTGATATTGATGATGATGATGATGATGATAAAGATGAATGCGAGGCTCGTTTTTTGATAAGATGCACCGCGACGATTGTGTGTGTAGAAATATATTTTATTACTGAGATAATTTTGCTGATAATTTTTCTCATACGTTCATTCTCAATCGCTGTTGCCTCTCGGACGAGATAGATCCGAGGCCGTGAAACAATCCTGAGACCGAATGCTGATGAAAGAAACTGTAACACATTAAATTAGAATAAAAAAAGGAAAAAGAATGTTACATTACAAACGGATGTGAACGAAACGGATCACTCGTTATATTCATTTTTCTTTTCTTTCTTTTTTTCTTTTTTTTTTTTTTAGTTCCGCGTGGTATTGCGTTCGAGCTACATACATAATGTACATACACGTGTACACGTATCATCGATGGCTCATTTCAGGAAATTACGGCCAACGCTAGAAACACCAGCGAAGTTCAAAATGGTTATTTTTCACTGACAAATCTAATCGGTCGCGGATTTTTTTACCATCGAGAAAGAAAACGAGTGTTCAACCAATTTACATTGAAATTGATATATTTAAAAAAAAAAAAGAAGCTCTGGCATTTCTAGTGTCACCATGTCGAATTTACACGAATTCGAACGAAAAGTTTCACTCGATAAATCGTCTCCGTGAAAAACAAAATCCTACACCGTGCTCGAATTAGAAAATTTCCCAAGTCCGTCGTAGCCACGAGAATTTCAAAGAAAGAAAAAACACGTCGATTTGCTTTCGCGGCAGAGTTTTATTCCGCGCGTACAGCCCACCGATGGGAAATCGGCGATCAACTTGGTTGAGCGTCTATCTCGTATATCCGTCTGCCAGCACAGAACGCAAGCTGCGGCACCACCGAGAGAGTTCTCGTTTTCTTCGCGTGCATCGGGTTTATCGGGCCAACGTCCAGGCTATACGTACCACCTTTTAAATTCCTGATCATTGCCAATGTCTGTCGAGGAGAATAATCGTCGTCGTCATCATCAGCGAGTTACGAAGTATAGTCGATCGAAGAGATATCGTCAGGTTGACAATGAAAATTTTCAGTTCTCTCATCGTATAAGTGTGTAAGAATATTATTACCGATCTTGTTTGCCTGCTTCCCTCTATCATGGAGATCATTGTCCATCGCGATTTTATGGATTTTAATTTTGGACGCGATTGAAATCGACCTTTCAGATCAAAGCCACGTATACCACGAATTGCTTGCGCTAATTAAACGGGCGTTCATTCGCGAGAAATTAATTTTCAGAAAGTGATGAAGAGACCAAGAATATTTTCAAACTGATATTTGTAATCATTTTTGATACTGCGCGAAATGAAGTGTTCACCGTACGAAAGGTGTTGGCGTTGCAGTTGTGAAATCTCTTGGTGTACATTCGACGTCTTACGCGTTTTAAGATTTATACGCTACAGAGATGTCGAATATCCGCGAAGCTTTTTCAGAAACTCTCGAAAGCACCTTCGATAAGCCTATCGATATTTTTTGAAGACACAAGCGTCCCCGAGCATCGAACCGTATTTCGACAAGCGATTCGAACATTTGGCATTTTTGGAGACCGGTTCACCGGTGAGATTCTGAATCGTTAAACTCGGATCGGTACTTTAATCAACGACGACACCTGACTAGATCGTTTCCACCGACTGTACACTGCGAGCAAACGAAAAATCCGTGCGAGAGATCGATATTTACAGCGTGAGATCGCAAGTCGACCACTCTGAAGAGATTGGTATTTGTGCCACCGCAAGCGATGAACATGTTCGACACGTATTTGCCACAGTAGAGCAGGGAGGGATAACTGTCGGGTTCCAAGGAAGCAAGCAGCTTTCCGCTACCGTAGTCCCACAGCTGGATGGGATTCTCCCTTTGCCACGAGCACGACAAAATCTGTTCGCAATATAGTTTTGTTAATAAAAAAAAGAAGATAAAAAGAACAAAAAAAAAAAAGAAAAAAAAAAGAACACCCGCAACGTCTGATTCCTAAGCGAAAGATTAGGATGTGTAGTGTATTCTTTTAAATAATTTGTAAAGTTTTTTTTTTTTCTTTCTTACACGTGACGTTTTACTTTTTATTCGAACATCTTTCACTTTAGATCGTAGACCAGAAGGATAAGAATTATAAGCGGCTAAGATTGTTACATTGATGATGATTTAATTCTTATAGGGTAAGCGTTGGGTCAATTTGACTCGACGAATTGATTGCGTATTGATTGAAAAAAAAAAAAAAGAAACATTTTAATCGTCTAATTTATTGACTTTTTGAGCGACACAAAGATTTAAGTGTTAAATGTGTAAAAATTTGACGACTTTGAGATGTACGTTCCTTCTACGTTGAAGTAATTTATGGAATGTATGTTGATGATTTTGTAAATTGAAACGACTATGACTGCTTTTTATATGCTGCGCTATACTACTGCCGAACGTAAGCCTTTATTGTATAAAACTGTGAATTTTCGTTTGATAAATCAATTTATTTTTTTTTTTTTTTTTTTTTTTTTACTGTACTTGTACCGTACTTTTTGAACTGTTGAAACGCGTACAGTGAGGGATAAAATGAAAAAAGGGATTTGCAACGTAACGATGAAAGTTGATTTATACTCAACAGAAATTCCACGTTTTTATTCAAAGGAAACGTGCAATATTTATATAAATATTTTTCGAAACGCATAATACTGCCCTGTTTTAATGTTTTTTACTATTCTCGATTGGTCATCCTCTGTCGGATAGATTAATACCTACCGCAAGATCAAATTGACCCACCGTCTACCGTACGAAGGTTAACAGTTGTAAAAATATAAATTGTCGCGAGCAATTTCGAATTTGTTGTGGAAGAAGAGAAAAAGGGGGGAGGGGGGAAGAAAGAGGAAACGCGACGAAGGGCGTATTGAAGTGAGCGGATGCGTCGTTTCGGGACCAGAATCTGGTTTCAAAGAAAACGAACTCCTACAATTTTTATATACATTGCCGTATGAATAAGAACGTGTTAAGGTGGAAACAATTTGACTTCTGAATTCTGGATAAAAGTACATATATATATATATATATACCTCTTTCCCGTTCCTGCTGATGTCGAGCGCGTCGCCGCATAAGTGCACGCCCGATATTCTCCTAAGAGCGTACGGTTGCCTAGTGTCCCAAAATTGAATGGTATTGTCCCAGCCGCCGCTGATCAGCTCGTGTGCCGACTTGGGGTTGAAACATGCGCCGAACACTCTAGATTTATGGCCGTCCATGACTTCCAATGACTCGCTGAAATAACGTGAGAAGAAGAAAATAAATAGGCGAGAGAGAGAGAGAGAGAGAGAGAGAGAGAATGGACAAATAAAAGATACTTATATATGTTAAAAACGTTTATCGAGATCTTGATCGAACTGTAAGTAGAAACGGCGAATTTGTGTCTGTCAACTTCGAGAAAAACCAATCCTTTTTGCCTACTTCTTATAGTGACCTTTCGGCTATCTATCCGCAGTTGGGTAAAATTGTAAAACGAATTGAAACGACCTCAGACTGAAGCCACTCTGAATTACTGCTAGCGAAACTACAATTTGTCAGTGTGTTATTACCTGCGTGGCGGGTAATTACGTTTAAGATCGCTGATGAGCGGTTCCGTTCGTAAATGAAACTTAGCGAGAGCGCAAATATAAGTATCGCGAGCAACACTGCCTAATTGTCGTTCCCTTTGTGTTATTATCACGTGCCTTTGTGACAAAAATTAGAGCTTGGGAAAAGGCTTTTGTGTAAAAGAATATTCATCTTTCCTTGTGACGATTATTTTACAGCGCGCGAAAAGCATAACGACAACGAGGGATAAGATATGTAACGAAAATGTGTAACGCTGATGTAAAAGGTTTCGAGCCATCCTGTAATAGGATTTAATGCAAAGTAAAAGGTAATTTCGCGAAAGAGCGTCTTTGGAAGTTGTGGGCCACTCAGGAGAAGCTATTAGATACTATTCAAATTATGCTATATTTTTTAAATGGAATCAAAATAAAAAAAAAAAGAAGAAGAAGAAGAAAAAATAATGAACTTTATATCGAGTTAGATGTGTCGTAGGAAAGTAGAGCGATTACTCTATCTGTTTAACTAGAAAATCTACTGGTCAGTGGGCACCTAGCGCGAGTTTATTTGATTTGAAACGACCCTGAGCAGTTACTCTTGATCAGAAATGAACTACAATCACGTTTAACGAGATCAAGGTGACTTTGAAGTCTTTCCGCTCTCTGGAACGTTGTTACAAGATGTAGACCTGCCGAGGCAAAGTGATTTTCATCTGAAACATTTGATTGGTCTCTGTAAAGATTATCGTGTTGCAATGGCCAAACGTAGAGTTTGTTGATTCGCAATCATATTTGAATGACTGGCGTGAATTCTAAATTATACACGGTTCAGCAATAATATAAACCTTGAGCCTCTTTCTATAGCTTGATTCTTTTCTATTGCAGCGAGTGTAACGATGCTGAAGTAAGAGTTTCAATAAGAGTTTCAACAAACCTCGCGTGAAACACTCTTTCCTGCGTTTTGGTCTCTTCGTCGTAAAGGATGACCTTCGCATCGTCGCCCACAGTTACGAACTTTGGCAGACGAAAATGGTAAGCCAAACCTAATGTCTGCCTCTTCTCCCGTATCGTGTAAAGGCACTGTGAGGTTGGATAATGCCAACACTTGACGCAGCCATTAGCATCTACGATACAGTCGATCGAGTGTATTTTATGATTTGACTGCGTTGTGAAAAATAAACTATACACGTTTACTACTAACAGGTTGCGGTGACGGTGCACGAGAGCGGATGAGATCTGTGGACAGGCTTGTGCTTAACCGAGGTTGTCGGACTTGGTTTTTGCAGCATTTCAGTGTCGTATAGCGTCAACACTTCGTCTGAACTGGTTTTGTACAGTTTCAACGAGCCATCTGTCAGGCCTGCCGCCAAAAAGTCATAGGTCTCCGTGTAACATACGCAAAGAATATCTTGCTCGATATCTCTAAAACAATATCCTCTTATCGGCTAAGATGTGGTCGATCCGAGTTCTAATAAACTAAACGTTGCATCGTAGAATTTTAAAGCAATTTTTAAAACTATTTTTTTTTTTAATTGTTATTTCTATAAATCTCGGGGAATTTTCAGTTTGAATTTAATTTGTTAGAGCACAATTCTCAAGTCGCAAATAAGCGCAGTTAGCTTCAAATAACTTACTCCGTCGTTTTTATTTTTGTTTAAAGAAAATTTTGCATACATTTGCCTAAGGACAGTTACGTTGTCATCCATGTAAATTTGTTCTTGCTCCATTGTGATTGTTGCTTTTCAACGAGACTGGCTCAACTCCATCAGTGCTGTTGGTAACAAAATACATTTAGGAAACAAAATACACGATAAAGTGCGCGAATAACATTTCAAATAGATTGTCGTAATAGAACGAGAGAAACTTCTTACCATTACAGGGATGAATCACTGAACTTTAGAGCTTCGTTTTCGACGTTTCGTTCATTGGCAAGATATTCATTGCTAGTATGTTAATCGAGTATATTGGTTTTACATCGCCACTTGACGAATTTGAGGTTATAATCTCTCAAATTCAAAGTGACGATCAGTTTTGGAAAACTTCAAACAGGTTTGCTAATTTAATTCTATAAATCCACTTTAACTGCAATTTTAATTCGTGGATTGTTTTTCGAAAAATTTTTCAAAAATATACAACAGTCGTATAGGTAGATATTTCGAACATAATTCGCAGTCACCTTTCTTACCTATATTGGATAACAATTTCCTTTTATTTTCTCTACGATCAGTTTCCACGTAATCGTCATTGACTAATCGCCCGTAATAACAGCATTAAACGTTTGAATGAAAATTGCGAAAAGTTTATAAAAATTAACCGTCGATAACCAAAAAGAAGAATTGTTAGCCAATTGATTCGCCGTGTCGATAACAGAGGTCGCTAGGAAGCCTGGGGGCGGGGGGGAGTTTGGCGAAACGAGCACAGAACGATCCGCCAATCAGCGTGCGAGTGCGCGCGGGCTCGAGGCTTCGTGGCTCTGTAGCTGTCAGTCGGTAAGCAGTAGCTTCCCCCACGACTTTGCTTATGTTATCGTTGTCGTGAACGCGTTCACGTATAAAACCGCGTCTCAGCTGCATATTCCCCTCCGATCATTCTCACCGACGACGGGAAGACTCACGATGAGCAGCTGGAAAATCGACTGTGCGTCGCCCGCGTGAACGTTTCGGCAAAATTACGCGGGTGATTGTGTGTTGTGTGGCCCCGAAGGGAGTGTCGTTAACCTCGCGCGCGCGGAGAGAGAGCCCGTCGTCGAATCGGTGGTTCCCTCGGTGGAAATCGCGCGTAGATACCCGACGGAGCTGTCAATCTCGCGAAGCTCGGTGCACGGTACGTCGGTCGTTCGGTCAGAATGTCGGCGTCGGCAGCGTTCCCGGCGTCGCGACAGTGAGAGGAAACGCGCGGTAAGGCGACAGCGAGAGGCCGAGTGCCGTCGAGAATACAGCTCCCAGGGTGAGAGCCGTGTCCAACGTAGAGATTTAAGAGCCCACCGAGGAAAATGGCGGACCTCGAGGCGGTGCTGGCCGACGTCAGCTACTTGATGGCCATGGAGAAGAGCAAAAGCACACCGGCTGCCCGTGCGAGCAAGAAGATCATCCTACCGGATCCTAGGTATATCCCGCGATAGTTGGCGACCTACCCGTCGCTTTTTCCCCGTACGACCGCCACGACTCGTAGCCTCGGCTCTAGCGATGGGAACGAACCTACTCGTGACCGGTGCTAGAACTTTGAAACGGTTCGAAGGAATTCATTAGCTACCCTTCGACATTCTCACTTGCTCTCGGGCTTAGGTATCAGAAGCTAACGTTCGAGCATATAGTCTAAGTTAATTGTTTCAAAAAAATTCAAAAGACGAAGAAACTAAACGTATATTCGTTTACGTGTATTTCACGTGAAATCGTTCAAATTGTCTCCGCCGTTGGATCTCGTTCTTTCAACTGACCAACGTTGTTCCCACCAGCTCTCGGAACTGACGAGGCGAGCCTCTGGCGTTACGTATCTAAAATAAATAAATGTGTCAGGTATTCGCGTTCCACTGATTGTCGTCGTCATCGATGAAGAGATCTCGTTAATTGTGCTTAATGCTCTCGCTAAAATGCTTTCGATTCATTCACGAAATCTTTATTATTATTTCAACTTTTAATTCAGCATTGTGATACACACACACATATATATTTATGTATATATATATTCGTAATAATTTTCGCGTAATCGTGCTGAACGATCGTCGACGATGCAGAGATTGATTGTACGATTCGGAAACGATAATGGGATTAGTCCCATCGCTACGTTTCACCACGTTTCCTGCCCCTCCCTTCTTCTTCCAGCTCTTCCTTGTCTGACACGAGCCCGGTGTCTTGGCTCCTCTTTGTTTCTCCGCGCATACGTACCGACGCCTTCGGTTCTTTGGCTTCGTTCGCTACGGCCGCGCGGCTGTTCCAGAAAAATGTTTACAAACAGTGTCCCGCGATGGTTGAAACCGACGGAAGTAATAATTGAAGTTGATCGAGAAATTGCTTTCTTACAGTCTTGTGAAAATGGAGAAAAGTCCCTCGTTTTTCTCTCTCTTTTTTTTTTTCTGTTCTCAATTATTGGTTCTCACTGGAAGATGATTGAATCATCGTCGCGTTCGTTTTTCAAATTTTACACATAAAAGTTGGGTATGTTGCGAATCTGCGTGTAATGAGAAATAGGCTACGAAGATGACGCGACTGAACAAAAACGTGCGAATTTCACACGAGTAATTTCACAACGAATAATTCAGAGGCTGAACAACACGTTAGGCTCCAACATTTTTGATTTGCAGTGCCGATAAGAATTTATTCGAATTTAATCCACGGAATTTTTACACAAATTTAAGTGTACGATATTTCCGTTGTTATCGACGTTGTTGTGAAATATATTCCCTATCGTCTTTCGAAAGTAATTAGTCACGCTGGAAGGTGTTCACTAAAATTTCAAATTAATTACATTGCCTTGTTAAAGGTAAAAGGAGAGAATGATACGATACTTTTTCGCGTACAACCTTGTAATTTATATTTAGAATCTTTTGCTATTTTTACGTGCGGGAGCGTTCGAAAGCAACGAATACCGAAAAGTAGACGTTTTGTAGATATATCACCATTGATTTTCGCAAGAGGAGCCGATATCTCCCTCGCTGCGTGATAGAAAAATATTTCAATCAACTCTAGAAATTGTCCGATACGCTAGTTGCTACGTTTCCTCGGGGGTTTGTGGTTCACTATCTTTACTCTACAGATAAGAAAATCTTTCTCCTTATATCGTTCGAACTGCATATCACTGTTTGTGGTTTTTCCGTGGCGAACGTCGCGAAGAATGCGTCGTTTTTTCTAGAGTGAAAGGAAGTATCCTTATCACTCTATCTCATTTTCAAAGAAAGTTCCGAAATTTTGTTGTTTTCGTAAAAACGTTCAGATGAACTTTCAATCAACAATCTGACTAATTTTGTTTCGAATATGTTGCAACGTTATTTCCATACTGGATATTACGTAAAAGAAAATTATACTCACCTTTGAGCATACATTTTTTACCAATTAAGAAAAAAAAAAGAGACGGAAATCTGTAATTATATTTGAAAGAATTAATTAAAAGAAGCTAATGGAAGAAAAGATTTAAGGCAGAAGCTTCTCCGATTGTCATTCGTTTGCTCTGAAGAAGAAAAAAAAAAATTATATATCGTCGGTGCTGGAAGATATTATATACCCGTCGAAATTGTTGGTACCAACCCTCGTAATTTATTGCGAGGGCTAAGATTCGCACGGGTTGAGGGGGGGCAAAGCATTTCAAACAGGAAAGAACATTTTTGCGCGCGACGAGAAGCTGGGAAGGCCTTTTATCACCTGAGCCACTGGCGCGATGTGAAATTGGTTAAAGATCCGGTCAGAAAAGCGTCTTTGTCTAACCGAATAAAAAAAAAAGGTTTGCGAGACCAAGCTGGCCAAAGAGTGGCTTCCAGCCATTCTAGAGTCAATCTTTTCGTCTTTATTATCCGTGAATGGAACGAATTTTTCTGAAAATTTCTTCGAACAACGAGCCTAAGGATTCTAATGTCGTGAAATTAGCCATCATTTGGTAAAGAAAGTCGGTGGTATGTAAAATTCGAAAAAAAAACATGAAATCGGACACGAAGGGTCCTCCAGGACCTTCTAGGAACTGCGAGATTCCTAGAAGGGATAAGGATGCTACCTGAAGTCTATAAATAACACTCAGAAGTAAGGACGAGTCGGACGAACGCTTTGAGTAAATGTCGAGTTGTATAATTGAGTAAGTTTTTACCACTTGAATCGGTTTCTTTCGATAATCAGCTTCGACGATTGGCAACATCTATAATTTTTATGGTTTAATTGCAAGCCCAATTGCAATTAAATATCAATGATCTGGCAATCACTTCCGCCGGTTTAAAATGCTAATAGTATCTCGTATACATATTTCGACTTTAACGCTCCTATTTTTGTCCGCGATTGCGTCAAATATTGTAGAGCATCGTTCTATACAGGGAATGAAATTTTACCAACTGATTATCGATGTAGTAAAAAGAAAGAAATCGCTCGAGTAATTTAGGAAAATATATCGTGTTATAAAATACGCGTCGTGGAGTCGCGAGACACGCGGTATTATTTTTATGTTCGTTTAAACTCGTCAAACTGACCAGAGAGAGGGAGAGAGAGAGAGAGATTACATTTAAAAGCCTTTTGATTTCTTAGAAATCATTTCATTGTGGATTCCGTATAACAAAATGAAATATCTCGCCGGTAATTTAAAACTGGGATGGAAGCTATTGTAAACAAATCTAACCTAACCTAAACAATATATAGACACATGTAACACAATATATATTTCGACTGACAGAATTTAAAAGACGTTACGTTATTGAAATAAATTGAAATCAATTTTTAAAATTCGTAGATAGGTAAATTTGTTCCTTAGTATTTTTACATTCATTACCTTGAGTCGATAAGTATATTATCTACATTTTTAACAATTATTGCCACACAGCAGCCTTGTCGTTTTATTTCTATTCTGATCTAGTTTCCAAAGTTGATATATTTTTTTTTCATCGCTCTTTCAATTTTATTATAAATTAATTAATTTATTAAGAAACTAGATAACTAGGAACATTGTGGTTTCGTTAACACTGGAAATCGATAATAAAAACCATGTACTATGAAACTTGACACGAGCAAAGTGTTAACCTCTTGCGCTGGAATGACGTGCCACACACGTTGAGAATATTTGGCCCAAAATTGCAGTTTTAAGTACATTGAAATACAACCCAGGCAAAACAAATAATAAATTTATTACTTCTTAGTAATTTCTATCCAGTGATATACCGATGAATTTAAAAAAAATAGGCGAATTATTGAAGACCAATACGGTTTGGTCTCTCGTTATGGTCCGCGAACCAGCTACTAGCGCAAGAGGTTGAAAACAAGTGAAATTAACTCGGACTCGTGTACGCATTCGGCACTTATCCCCATCGCTACCGTGATTCATTGAACGCTATTTTTTGCCCGCCTGCTTTGTTGCCTGGTTTTCCCAGGTGAATGTTGAAAAGGCCCTTGAATCCGCGGAAGGCCAAGGACCTTAGAAAGGCAACGCACAGTTGACAGCTTCCTCATGGCGTTCGTGTTCGCTTTATGAATCCCTGCATTTAATCCAAAGAAGAACAATCGACCACCGGCAGAAGAAATACCGGTTGCTCGGTTTTTATATACCCTCTTCTTGTTGAATTTATTTTTCATTCGATGGATTGCGAGAACTTGAGAAGAACCTGCGAATCGTTCGTTTCTTCCTTTTTCTTTTCTTCTCAATTCTAAGTGTTTTGTACGACGTCGTAATGACTGCAATATTTACTCGTGTGGGTAAATTTATTACCAGTATAAAATGTTCCTCTCTCCACTCTGGATTTGAGATTCTAACTTGGTTTGGTGCAGGAACCAAGTTTCGTTCTCGCGATCGAATATGAAATATTCTATAGATCCGTTGGATCAAACAGTTTGCCAGTTAGAAACTCCAATTTACAGTACAGTACAATATAGTATAGTCATTTTCCAAGTACAGTTTTAAGTTCAACCGCGCGAAATAAACTTCGTCGACGCTTTTCAAGATGAGAATTTACTTTCATTTTTTGTACACGTTGTAAGGAATTAGTCAGGTACGAGTTGTCCCAAAGTATTTTGGCCAAAGACAAGGTACAAATCGCCAAGGATACACAAGCATGGCAAAAAAGACCGACGAAAGTCAGTTTTTGGCCAGCATTGCAACATTTCTTCTACTTCCTCGAGTGGAAGTCTTTTGTGTGTGTGTGTGTGTGTGTTGGTTTAAAGTCGACATCGACATCAAGGTCATTAGCGACTACGGTACTCATATTTTGTGGTACAGATTTATGTTTATTAAGAGTATTGGAGTATTTCCTTTATGTGTTTTTTGTGGGGTTTATCCTATGGGAGCCTTCTCTGTCGCTCGAAGTTGGCCTGTGAGCGATTTTTGGCATCTGTTGCAGAAGAGAGAGTCCGTGTTCTTGATAAGATGTTTATGGGTAGAGTGGAAGTCTTGTTCTTGTTCTTGTTTTATAAAATTGTATGGTATAA